TCATTTCAAGTAAAGTCTTGATGCTTATTGCCTTTACTATTTCGCATATGATCTTCTTGTGTCAGCAGCAACATCACGGAATAACTTATGTATTCCCAACATACATGGCGCACTAGATGACTTTTCCTGCGTAATCATAAATTTTTCAAACCCGCGATTACTTCGAATACTGCGATACTTTACACTCACGTTGCAGAGCTATGCAACCTCTTTACCAATTTATTTTAAGACAAACGATATGTAGCCAAGTACTTTACCTGGATAGGAATTGATCGAATACCGTTAAGTAGTGCCAATGTTCTCATCAAGTGAACGACGGATTCAGCAGCACATTTTTTATCGAATTTCTCTGTGTAGCTTTTTTCGGTTTAAATCTGCTTAGTGTGAAAATTAAGCGACATGCAATTTACTATATTTCAACTTTAGTCGCCATCAAACGCTACTAATAAAATTCGTTCTTGTCATTTCGGTGTCCTCGCCGATTGAAAAATATGATTAAAGTCGCCGAGGCTGCAGGAAAAGTCGGGCATGTATCATGTGTTTACTAAAATGCCGCTGCTAACGAAGAAGATCATATGCGAGATGGTGAAGGCGATGTGCATCAAAATTTTACTTGAAATTGACATGTTTTGTCAAGATGATGAAGTCCAGACTGAACGAATGAAAAATTACACAGCTTGACACTTTAATATATAATAAGACTTACGAAGTCGTTACTTACAGTGTCATAGCCACCCATAGGATTTTGAAGACCGACTGCTTTTGAAGAACTTACTCTAAACATAACATCACAAACCCTACAAGCTACAAGCGTCCATTCTAGATTCCAGCAATCCGAACTTTCCAGAACAATTCATTCTTGAATATTTCTTCTCCCCGACAACAATACTACCTCAATGAAGCTCTTTTTTTCCTTCCTTTCTGCGTTAGCACTTGTTGAAGGTGCTGATCAGATTCCAAGGACCTTTTCAACGTGCCCATTGGTGGGTGGACGTGGTGGAAAGGAGTTTAACAATGCCAATAAGTTAGAACATGGGCAAAAACTAACGACACTCACAATATGTTTTGGTCATCGCGTGGATGGCCTCGGCGTCAGTTTCGTGCCACCGAGTGGCATGGGCCAAGATCTGTTTTACGGCAGTAAGAACAATTGTCATTCTCATCAGTTGGCTTCTGATGAATACATTACACACTGGGAAGCGCAAACTGTAAAAGCCGACGATAAAACAAAAGTGAGCTACATCAGATTCATGAGCAACAAGGGAACTTATTACGAAGGAGGTCGTGAGACATCGAATGAGAGCAACAAAGCGGATTGCAATGCTCCCGAAGGATATCAACTTGGCTCTCTCTATGGGCGCGCAGGACAGGAGATCGATGCGGTTGGTCCAATTTGGGTAAAGTTGAATCCTGAGCCATAACGAGAACTTGGCATAGTCCAGCAGACTCGTTAATTGAGTGTCAGCAATCTGGTACCGACGACGATGTCACTCTGAATTTGTTTGACGAGGCTTTGGACTTTATTGTTGTCTTTGTCTAGAATTAATCATTTGCTGTAGTTCATATCTTTAAGCTGTTCCAATCTCACGTTAGTTGTCTAAGCTAGCACCGTAGAGAACACAGTTAAAAGTCAATGAACACTTTGTACGTCGTACTTTTCCGTTTGAAAGTCCTACACCATAATTCTACATTCTATACTTTTTCAATACAAGAGCAATGTCAATAATAAACCTTCAAATGAAAACTATGTCACATTCACATGTATTTTTCGTACCAACGTTGCCATTACGACGACGGACGCAGGCACCTAAGGTGAGCCCTAGAGATCGTCAATTTGACTTTGTCAGTCGATGATTTTTTTTTATCAACCCTTACTCATGAATGTGATCTTGACCATTTGGCTCATCGTTAGTTATACGAACAAATGCCACGTTTATGCAAGTAAATTACACAAATAGCTGCACTATTGTTTCTAACAAAATGAAGCCCCGTCGTCTCAACACTCCCACTCGCTTTCAATGTGTGTTGCTCTTCGGCATTGGCGTGGTCTAGATACCCGCTGCCTCGCTTAAAGAGGCGATCATCTTGGTTCTGAGTGCCTTCGTCAGTATACGTGCAAGCTGATGCTTCGTATTGGTATTGTCTTTCTTCAAGATTCCTTCTTGTGCGTTTTTGCGAATGCAGTAGTACTTGAGTTTACATACTTCATCCGAGAATGACATTTGACGTCGTTGGCTAATAGGATCGATTTTTGGTTTTGTTTGCGCTCTTGTCTGCCCTCCACTTGTTCGTGACCTTAAGCGTCGCACGTGTCCAAGAAACTGCTTCAGCGAGAATACTAAGTCGTTGCCCAGCTGAGCGTGGCGGATCGCTAGCACCTTGACTTGAATGCCATTGGCGCACCTGCAATAATGACAATTATTCCTGAAACTGAACGTCTGTCATCGGTATTGCTGCCCAAAACAGCATCCAAATATGCCTATCCATGTTTCAATTGCAATTTTACCACTGCATTGGTTGACTATACCGATAAGATTGTACTCTTCGCATAGCATAGCATGCAAATAGCTGCATTTTAGTTTGCAGTCCGGGGGTCTTTCAGGAAAAGTACAAGCAGTGTTATTGTGTATGCGATATCTTGTCAAGTACATGTCGTAATGTACACCATTCACGATGTAGGATTGATACTGATTTGAGCATATCGCCAAATGACCCTCTTTTATCGTAGGCGACTTAGATCATTACAATATCTATTTTGATGCGTAGGGGTCGTCGAGTTGACATTCTTGGTATCTTGTCAACCGAATCACCTGACCATGTCATCGACATAGTAAGCTTGCCTGGTCATAAGTGTTTTTGCTGGCTTGTCGTGGTCGATCTTCATGTCTGAAAATGTAATTTGTCTTGTCCAACTCCTTCATCTCGAGAACAGTTCAAACCACTTCTTTGTCCTGGTGATCTCCCTGCTTATCTTTGCTGCGACAGTCATGTCATCTTGATACAGCCCAACGCGGATAAAAGGTCGCTTGATATAAATGCACTGATCATCCCTGCATTCATCGAAGCCATTATTCTCAAGGCCACATGATACTGCATTCTTCAGGCGTTCATAAAATGTCTCAGCCCGGTAATCTTTGTTGGTATCCAAGAAAGGATTCCCGAAAAAAATCTGTATCATACTTTGCCTGAAATATATCAAGACATATCGTGTCTTGCATCGCATGCCAAGGCTATTTTGATCACACTTGTTGGAAAAGTCCTCTTTCGTGGACTAAGAAGAGTATCAATCACCACGCGGGTGATTTAATAATTAAAGCATGCATCACTGTGATGCAATTAAGTGATCGTATTTTCCGACTGGCTTTAAAATCTATATTTGTTTCTGATCATGATAGCGAAGTTCAGCTTCAATATTTTCACGCCAACCTCACTTCTCCCCATGTAAAAATAGATAGTAAATGAGTTTTATCTCGTCTTCCCATGCTAAGATTGGAGTATCCGACTCGGAGTCGACTTCCTTTTAATCCTCGACGAGAAAATATGTCGCCCGAAGCGGGCGTAATGTTTGGCCCTCGGCTTGGAATGTGCTTCCCGTGAAGCCGTGGACGTACTGTCCGAAGCTGCACGCCGTGTAGAAGAAGAAGGGCTTTGCCCGCTTGCGCCCTCGGGACCAGTTAGTTTTCGTGTCATGGACACAGGGCTCATGAGCGGAGAATGTTCAAAGATGTCCTAGGGATGTAACGGTGTCTCAGACACGCGAGCCTCGTCTGAGGTGACAGTTAAATGTGCATTGTGGGTATTCACGATTTTGATGGGGTGCAAAGGAGTTGCACGTACCCTTGTATGAAAGGGCGGGTCACACATGAAGGTGTGACCGTAGATAGATGTGAATAACACGAGTTGGTTTAATCACACAATAGTATATCTACACCGTAACAAGAAGCCACTACGTGGCAAGATTACCAATAATGATGCCTGTTGATCAATTAGGAAAACCTAAAGGTTTAATTATTGGCGATTATGCCGCAAGTAAAACAATTCAATTTTTGAACGAAAGAGCGTCTTTAATTTTTTAAGGCTTTTTAAATACTTTGACGGTAGAGGGTTGCGATCGGCTACACTCGTACTGGTTCTTGTAAAGAACGTAAAGTTCGTGATCCTAGCTCAGCTTTCTTTAAGCATAGAGCTACGGCACCCCGCTGCCTTTGACGAGAGGCAGCTTGGCTATTATCATATCGGTAACAGTGTCTCGAGCAGAGACAAGATGAGCCATTTTGTTCAGATAATCCAAGAAGACCACAATGTGGGTAGGAATAACACGACGCTTTTTTCAAAAGATCAAGTTTTTGTCCATCATTATAAACTGTCATCCCTCTGTCGGAGTCAACAAGCTCGCCAATGGCACCATCGCATGCAACAAGAGTTACATATACATCGAATCACCAGAACTTTGGGCTCATTGGGCAGTATGTCTGTTCTCGTTTGAGGTGCCATTAAAAGGGGTATTATGTGCCTCGCACAAAATTCTCTACCTGACATTTTCATCACGAGATATCAGTATCAATTGGATCGGTAGCTAGCCTAGGAATGAGGTATAACGGTGCTAAGATGGAGTCGAGCGCTTCAATATAACGCCATCTAAGCTCACAAATTATTTCTTCCCAAGCTTTCAGCACAACAACACATGTTGCGTACGCTGTACGTATACCTCATCACTTGGTGACATCCATGTTCCTCATGACGTGCAGATATACATAGTCGGGCAGCATCCGCCACCACATTAAGCTGACCCGGCTGACGCCTTATCGCATAGGAAGTATCCAGTTTGTGATCTTTTGCAAACATTCGGTGACGACGTCGCTGTCGCAACGACGCGTGATCTGTATGTCACTAATGAATGGAATTCAAGCTATTGCACTCTGAACTTGACTGAAGCATACTTCGTTGGAATTAGCTCATGTCTTTGTCGTGAACTGAGGCATCCTTCTGTGCCGCTTTCAGCTGGCGAGACCCAAACGCATTGTCATGACCATCGGAATATGCTTGGGGTAAAACACAACCGATAGCAAAGGCTGAAGTGCCACTAGACTACATGAAAATTCCAATTTCAAGCTAGAAGGGCCAGATTCAGGGATTCAAAAGGCTTCACAGCTTCAAAGGCCGCATATTCTTCCACAACCGACGCCAAATGGCATGCTAGATAAGCAGACAAGTTGTGTGCGATCATCAAAATCTGGACTCAATTGTGCGAAGATGTTGCCAAGTCAAGTCCTCTTGGTTCGAGGTATTAATCAGTCAACGACGATCGTATCTCGTTGCACAGACCATCCTTTATAATTAAGCATCTCAAAATGTGGGTTTGTCAGAGCCAAAGCTACACTTGTCTATGTTGGCAAACAGCATACTGACGCAAAGACGCAAGCAGTGATTACAAATAGAACAAATTAATGCTGACAGCGCAAGTAATCGGGCCAAGTGACGTTTTGCAATCCTATTCACAGGTAGCTTAGCTATACTTAGCTAGACAGAAATTGACGTGACATCTAAGAGAACTTTCAGAGAAAAAAACAAAATTTTGCAATAAAAGATTGCAATAAATTCACCATGCTTCCTGTATAGCGCCTGAGTAGGACAGTGTTTTACGCTGAGACCTGAGAATTAATTGAAGGAAAAGACAGAGCTGAAGCAGTACATTGGCAACTTCCATTCAGCACCACTCATTAATCATTACATTTGCAAAAACGTGCATCTCGCTTTCTTTTCATGCTGAGCTAATTTTCACTCGCTTCACATCATCAGCATCACTATCACTGTCATCCTGGAATCCAAACATCGAAAGAGAGCGAAAACTGTCAAACACAAGCCACAATCAACAATCCTTTACAAAACATACCTCTTGAAGCGTTCGTTTCACGCCGCTGTGATGATCATTTCTACTATCATCATCGCTCACACTTCGCTTTTCATCCACATCCCTTTCAGCAGGAATAAGATGTGCGGATGTAATCTGCTTTGTATTCGACATCACCGTGTCATAGCAGTATTTGTGAAAAATAGTCTCTTGTTGCTCATCTCCATTGATCCCAGTGCCATATATCGTTCCAGTAACTGCGTTTGTATACATCCAATCTTCCTCTTCTTCATCCCAACTTCTTGAGAAATTCTCACCACAGATCCGGCACCGAGTGATCGATTCGTCCACTGGGACTCGGGCATTCTCCCACAAAGCTTGTTCACTCGTATTCTCGTTTTCCTTTGCGTTTCTATCAAAGAAACTGCTACTTGTGCATTCGCGAGGTGCCACCTCGCCGGAGAAATCAGCAACCCACTGGTTTTCGTCAGGATACCAGGACCTCGACACGCCACCTTTGCCACGCTCTTTGCGAGCACGATTATACTGGAATAAAAAGTCGAGATGAGCGTTCAATTGAGCCTGTTCACGAAAGCGTAAACCACTTTCACGGCATACAAGAGGCAATGCAGCATATAATTTCTGAACATTTGATTCGACCCGATCTTTGTGTGCCACAATCTTGTCACTAAACCACATTCGAGACGCATGATCATTACGCAATGGAGTCTGCTTCATCGATAGTGACTGGTCAGACTCTAAATGATTTTCAGGTGGTCTCGACGGCGCGTTTCCGCTAGACATTCCTTTTAACTTTTGCAAGATCGACATGACAGCAGCAGCATCTGGTGCACGCGGTGGATCATTTGTAATCTCTTGAACTGGTTGTGGAGGTGACGGTGTACGCTGTTTTCGCTTTAACAATTGCATTAAATGCGCTACATTTGCAGACTTGGTAGCATCATCTTGAGCGTCACCTGGTCGTGATCTTTGTAAGTGCAAAGCTTGGGACGGCACAGTCTGTGGTTGTCGGCTAGCACGTGCGTCACGTGGTGGCGACGGACGTCGAAAGTCTTGAATAATCGAAGGCCGTTGTATTCCCGGTCTTTCTCGCTGTAAATTCCCAGCCATAAGTTCTCTTGATGAATTATTCTTCGAAGCTGCATGGAATTCGAGCAATTGTTTATAATAGCTCGGATTCTTTGTTCGCACTTCTTCTAAGCTCATGTGTTCAGTCGGATGAATGCCCATATCATTCTGAAGCTTTGAAAGTAAAGAACGTAGCTCCATATCTTGTTGTTGTTGTGCCAGTTTCACACTAGAGCTTATAGTCGCCACTTGGGGTATTGTACTTCCAGATCCAGTCAACTGCATTGCGTGATTTGCAGCAATTCGCATTTGTATAATAGCATCTTGACTAAACAATTGCGTCGATTCCCACGTATTAAGGACATGTATAAAACGTTTGAGATCCTTTTCCGAGACCTACAAGCGTGTCATTAGTAGCGTCTTTTTACGCGTCGAGACCGATCGTACCTGACGCACACAATTGCAATAAAGAGGAACAATCCTTGCAGCAAAGAGTGGAATGTATGGTCCTCGTAAATTCTTCAAGATCGAGTCTGTGAGGTAGAAAATGGGTAATTTGCAATTTGGCGCCACCTATTGCACATAACAACACAAAGCAGCATCAGCGTTTAACACCTCGTTACGTTGACTGAATCATGTCGTGAAATCAATGCTTTATCTCTAAATATTCTATCTGTCGCTTTAAAAAGTGCATTAAGTATCCTTGAGAGAAGGACAGCAGAAGAGCAAAGAGATCTCGAAGAAATAAGAGAGACAGATAGACATAGAAGAGAAAACAGAGTTCATCTCTTTTGGAGGCTCATTTACCCGATGGATCTTGGTCTCGAGAAAGCTAACAATCTCTGACGCAAACTCAGCGCGCTCTGCCAGCATCGTCAAGGCATTAATCGTGTCTTTCGCGGGATAGTCCATCATCGTATTAATCTGGGCGTCAAATTGCCCGAGCAACGTCTGGATCTCTGTCTTATGACTCGAGGTAGAAGTCGAAGAATTGGAACTTGTACCACTAGTAGGCGCGGACGAAGCGAGCTGTGCCATTGCCATGAGCAGAAAACCGCAGAGAATATGAGCAGAAGCGCTGGCTTCTTGTCTTGGGCTTTTTGGTACGAGTGAAAGTGTAATTTCAGCCATTTCAAATTGAAATTGTAGTTAGAAAATTATATTATATTCGTTTAATTTGATTTTTGAAAATTGAACTAAGTATTGGGTGCATGATGTGGCAGCGCGCAGTTCGCAGCTTACGCTTCGTTAGTCGCGTGTACTCTAGCGCCGCAGATGACGCATGGAAATTAACACACGTGAGTCAAGATCGTGCGTTGCCTCATATGGTAAATGTTGGGTCAAAACCGATAACGCAGCGCTCAGCTACTGCTTGTACAACGATCCGCCTCCCTCCTACAGTCTTAACAGAATTATTAAAAGGCGGAGGCGATCAATTATTGGGTCCAAAAGGCCCCATTGCATCCACTGCCGTGATTGCAGGTGTCTTAGGTGCAAAGCAAACAAGTTTACTCCTTCCATTTTGTCATCCACTTCCGTTAGAAGACTGTCAAGTGACAATTCAAGTAATTAAACCCAATATCATTGAAATTCAGTGTCAGGTGCAAGTCACCCAGAAAACGGGAGTCGAAATGGAGGCACTGACAGGTGTGTCGATTGCTGCGCTCTGTGTCTATGATATGTGCAAAGCTCTCAGTCACGATATTGTCATTGAAAATACTCGCCTCATTCAAAAAACGGGAGGCAAAACGGACGTGACACATCCAAATAAAGGAACGACCTAACCGTCTGAGTCAGCGTAACTCTCGTCTGAATACTCATCATGTTTTCCAATTTCGACGTCATTGTTTTGTGCTTGAACGACTGGAAGAGGAATAGAAGTGGCTTGCACTTTGTCATTAGTGTCATCCTCATGAATGTCTTCATATTCACCCGAACCATCAGCTCGTGATGTGAATTTAATGGAATCTTTAACAAGTCGATCATCATGGTCATCATCATTGTACTCGTCTTGTTCATTTTTGTATACTTCTGCTTCCAAAACGTTCGGCTTCTCCTCCAGCATTGATTCACGAGAAGGGATCGGAGGCAATATGCTTTGTGCTGCTGCATCTGTACGTGGAGTGTCAACTTCACTGTACTCATCATCTTCGTACTCATCTTCAGTGAATTGATGCGCGGCCGCATGAGACTCAACTCGAGAAAGTATACTCGGTTCAGTACCGTCGTTAAAACCGTCGTCATCATCATATGCGTCGTCAGTCTCGGCAGCACCGACGGGCTCTACAACAGCTGTATTAAAGTCTGCAATCTTGTCAAGTTGCTCTAGCGTCCATGCAGAATTATGTCTCGTTGGTACCACTTCTTGAGCCACTTCATCTTGTTGGACACTTTCCATCAGCGTGTCACTGGAAGCATCAGGTACAACGTCACAAATATCAATTACCTTCGCAGAGTTTGCAGCATCAGCCATAGACTTTACAATTTCATCCGCCGTGCCATACGCAGCCACCATACTCGGATCTTCTTCAAGCTTTGCATCATTTGCTTGCTCCTCAATATTAGTGCGATTATCATTCTCAGACATAGAGTCTTGCAATCCGTTCACTTCTTCGTGAAAAGCTGGCATGTCTTCAATATCGGGATCAATTGGCTCTTTATCAGACGATAGAGCTTTACTCCCAGGTAAGTCTTCTAGCTCTTCACTATCAAACGCTGTAGGTTCAGGTGGACGAGGATCAAGCTCGACACTGCCAACTTTTCCATCTTTACTATCCGACGTCTCGGCATGGGCATTTTCCGCACTCTCCTTTTCGACAGATTCGACTTCATCATTTATTGCGTCTGGTGCTAACTCCTCCAACTCTATCGAAGAAATGGGGATAACATTGATAGCCTCGCCTTCTTCCTCTTCAAGGCCAGCTTCGCTGTCCGGTAAATCGTTGCTTTCCTGGACACCATCGGATGGTTTCTCTTCACTATCGCATATATTGATTGTATCTGTCTTGGCAACAACACCATCCACAACTTGCCTCTCTGCGCCCACAGCATTGGCTTCCAATAGATTTGATGACGTTCCCGATTCAATTTCATCCACATTAGCCTGCATATCAAAAGCTTCTTGCTCTATAACATCACTCGTAGTCAATTCAGCTTTATCTGCTTGAGTAATCTCAGAACGAGAGATAAGCTCCTCGTCGCCAGGTGCAGCTTTGTTTGATATCAAGTCTAGCTCCTTCACCGCATCTGTCCTTCCATTTGTATCATCAGTCTCTATATCATCGAATTCGGCATCTTCGTACGCAAATTCGTCGTGTGAATCGCTTGTTGACGGCTCTACCAAATTCAAAGACTCTGCAGCAAAATCGACTTCAACTGAGTCTTTATCATGGGTGAATTCGAGTTCCAATTTCGGCTCATGCGTACCATCTTCTTCATCCTGCTCATCTGACTGTCCTTCCCAATCTGGCTTCATGTCAGCAGCTACATCACTAGGTTGCTCGACATGGTTGACAGCAGGGATAATCGAGTCGTCCTGACCCGCAGACTGTTCTTCATCGTTGGATAGTGCCGTTTTCGGATCGAGATTGTCCATTTTCTCCAATCCAGAAATGAGGACCGTGTCATTTTCCAAGCGTGAGCCATCGAGATTATCAACAAAGCCTTCAGACTCTATCTTCACTTTCACCGTGGCTATGTCGGCATCATCACTCATTATGACTGCTTCATTCAATGTATTTACGATTTGCTCTTCCATACCTTTGTCAAAGTCGTTATCGTCAACAGCTGCTGGCTGTAGAACTAACAAGTCAACATTATCGTCTACGAGTTCAGTATCAGTCAGATTCATGTCATTCTCAGGCATTTCACTATCGGCCGGTGAGATTGTAGGACTTTCCTTTGACGATGCAGCGATAATGACACCGTCGCTACCATTCAAATTGGGAACATCAGCATCAATTCTCACGTCTGCGTCGTCATAAGACTCTTTACCCTCTTCGTCGACTGACCAATTACGAAGTGGGGTCTCCTCAACACAGCCCGAGGACTCGTCATATATCAGCGACTCCTTAGTTGAACCTTTACTACCCTTTTCTTGATCACCTCCAGACTCGTCAGTCAGCTCAACTCCCGCTTCGTCATCTTGCTCATAACGATCATAATCTTCATCAATCTTAGGTGTCGAATATGCAGCGTCATCGTTGACTTCCCTTCTCAAAATAAAATCTACCTCGTCATTTGGGCTTGTTGTTGGTGAAAGCACGGCTTCTGCCATCTCAGTAGCTATAGGCTTGAGCTCAGTGGACATATTCTCAGCATAATTTTCACCATCGTCAATTTGACCTTCATCGTACGCAGCTGACTCAACAACAAGCTCGGACTTTTGAGCAACAAATGTATGCGACTCGTAACTATCAAGACCAGAATCAACAAGAGCGTTGACTATTGTTGCCTCTTTTTCTTTGTTTTCAAGCAGCTCGATTGTTTCTTTTGTTTTGATTTCAAAAGACTGAATCTCATCAGATTCATCTGGCTCACTTTCGTTGATACCGTCCTCGTCATCAAAGTTGTCTTCATCGTAAACGGCAGACAGATCATTACGAATGGAGCTATCCACTGGCAGCTCCTTTGACTCCTCATCGGCCTCGGCCTGAAGCTCACTCTCGTCAGTCAAATCATCCTGAACTTGCTGGAAAGAAGAAACATTTGCCTCTTCAGGATTATCTGGCTCATCCAGAGGGCCCACAGCTTCAGAATTTTCCTGAAGAACATGAAATTGATCCACTGGCTCATCGTATTCGACTGCATCGTCCATTTGCGTTCTAACCTCCGAACCAACAGTTTCCACACCTAAGACCGTCTCGTGATTGTGTATATCGCCATTTTCATTCAATGAGCCAACTGCATGATCTAAACAGGTATCAGCTTTGGTCGCTGTATCTAGTGCGTCCATGGCGTTTTCACTTTCTTCGTCGTATTGTTCAGTCTCTTCTTCGTCGGTGTACTTGTCAACGGTATCTTGTTCTTCTTCGTCAAAATTCTTGTCGACAACACTTTCATCTTCTTCCTCCTTTTTTACCAAACATGAATCAGCGGCGTTATCGATTGTCTCGTTCGTGTCAATACCCAGCAAAGAACTCCCTTCGTCTCCATCCTTGGAAAAGACAGCAACGTCCTCTTCGACTGATAAACGCTTATTTTCTAAAATATCCACTTGATCTTGACCGAAAACATTGAATTCTATTGCTGCGTTAGCTTCATCCTTTGCTGCACTTCCCTCGACCTGATCCACGTCATCGTCGAAATTATCATTTTCATCATCGTATAACGCTCCGCCACTCTTGCTTTCTTGCATGGGAGGATCTGCTATGATATTCGTTACTGAACTAATAAGCTCATCAACTTGAGTATCGATCATATCTTCATCGTCGCCATTGTCGTCATAATCAACAAATGCATCGTCATACATCGCATCGATTTGCTCGTTCCTCAGCTCAGCATCGACATCAACTTCTTCCACAAACGCTTCACGTGGCTGCTGTGCATCATCTTGCGGTAGATTGAACGAATTATCTACCGCAGTTTCTTCAACTAGCACGGGCACAGCAACGTTGACATCCACAGATTTAACACTCGCTGACACTAAGAAAGTATTCGCGCCAACATTTTCTTCACTTGATTTGGTTATCTCATCATTTATAATGTCGTGGACCGTATCATTGAATGTCACGGAATCCACCTCTATCTTAATATTTTCATCACGGATCGAAGCCTCCGGCTCGACTTGAACTGTGGGTGTTGGAACAGAACTATCCACAGCATTTGCATCTTCGCGTTTCACTTGAGATACTTCGACTACTGCTGGAGAATCGCAGCTTATAACGGTGTCAGCATTCACATTCGAATCTGTCAGGTCTTCAATATCAGCGGAGGTTGTCGCCTTGACAGCTTCTATACCAGCTCGCGATTTCGAGTCGGGTAGATTCTTGATAGAACTCGCTTTTTGCCGTGAAATTTCAAGACTTGAGGCAGCGACATTTGAAGGCTTTATACGCTTTGACATTTGCAAAGTCGGTTTCGCCGGTCTTGTTTCTAGGGATTCTCGATGTGATGAATATGTAGGTTGCTTTGATGTTCTGCTCACTGGGGTGCACGTTTGCTGTGACTGCGAACAACTGTTTTCAGACAGTTTTGAGGACACTTGTTGTGCTTTCCTTGTAGCCCTACCAGATGCATTTGACTTTTGAAGCCGCTTCATCGCGTGCTGTTGGACAGGAACTGAAGCGGTATTGCCATTCGCCAGCGTTAATTTGGCTCGGTCGATCATCTTGTGCAGCTTATCAGCAAAGCTCAGTCGTTCACGCTCTCGGATCTCTTCTTTCTCGCGTGGTGTCAATCTCGACATGTTTATTCCTCCTTGGCTGGCTGACTCTTGAAACAAGTGGCGAGCGTATTCATTTAACGACTCTGACGGACGATCGTTCGGTCTTCCACCAGAAAGACGGTTTCGCCGTGCTTTTGCCGCTCTTTTTGTCGCAGTACCCAAGCAGTGTGGTGGAGAATGATAAGTAGTGTCTTTTAAGACGCGCAGTTGATTGTCGTTTTCCACTTTCACATGAAACGCAGTACGAGCATTTGGGCTCTTTTTCTTTCTGTTCGCAACTTGTGCTTGATGGCTTTCGAGTCTATCAGCCGAATTAAGCGACTCACTTTCTTGATGTTTCAAATCATTCTGTCCATTAGACATCACATCATTAGAACAGTCGCGGTCAGAATAATTCAGACGTCGCGTGCGTGATTTAAAATTCGACGAATCGGTCGCCCACGTTTGTTCAGCGGTAACATGATGAATTTTTTGTTGGCTTCGTTTTGGTCTATGGGGTCTTTTGGCACCGCGATTCGGCATGCCATAGGCTTCATAAAGCTCATTTCGTCGAGCTTCTTTTGACAATTGTCGGTACTTGTAGTTAGAATCACGGCCATTCGTTCCCTCAAGGAGCACAAGTCTGCTTGATGGCTGTGGTGCCGACGCAGCCTGTTTTGGATAGCGTATTTCGCCCCCAAAACCTGCTTCAGCGTGTGCGTAATCGTGGTTCCACTCTCTTGGATGTCGATGCATAGCGCTAGAGTTTTGAGCAATTTTCGAGCCACGTGAAGACATCGGCGCTTCGTAGTCGCTAATCCAATTACCCTTCCGCTTTCCAGTACCTGTAAACCGCTGATGTGCGCTACTCTTCATATAGTTTTTATTCATAGTAGACTTGGTTTCTCGTGAAATGTCATGAGCTACCTCCTTTATTTTCGTTGTCGGCAGTGACAGTGAGTTGCATTGCGCCATTTGTTTCGAAGCAGCGGACGCGTACTTTTGAATGCTGGCTTCGCTTGGGTATCGAGCCATAACTGATGAGAGCTCTGCGACTCCGTTCAAATTCATGATTGTAACTGCAGCATGCTCACCACTAGCTGCTAAACTAAAGAATAAAATATATATCAGATTACATTCAAACTTGTGAAGAAAACACACCAGCGTACCACATAAGTAAGCTTCCAACTGCACAGCAAGTTTTCTTATCATCAAGCGAAAGCCCTTGACGCAGCAGAAAGAGAAGTAATGAAATGGGGGGCATGTCACCTATAGATCCGTCTTGATCACCACATAGCATATTGAAAGTCTGACGATCGTCCAGCTCACACAATTCCAATAACACTAGATTTAAAATCATCTGCAATCAATATACGCTCAAAAGTACCATAGCATCTTAGCATCTCACCTTCACATCCGTAATAATGCACTTGACGCGTATGTACACTATACGTCTTGTGGTAAATTAACGTCGTTAGCACCAAGTCTGCAACTTGATGTTCAATAAGGCTATTCAGCCCAGTCTGTATCGTTGTGAAAACCGCCAGCGCGCCACAGGCTGAAGCTTGCAGTATAGCATCATCCGGAAATACATTCATGGCTTGAATAATCAACTCGACAATGCCATGCTGAACAAAAAATTGTGCGCTCTGAGTACTAAGGAAACACAGTCGTCGAAGCAGCACAAAGCCATAGCATTGAATAACTGCGTGGGATTGATGAATACGAAGCGCGTCAAGGACTAGACGCTCACCATTGCGAGTATTCACCCCTTCAGCTGTATCCTGTGGAGAAGCTCGCATTTGCTTTACCAAAGTAGATAAAACGGATTTAGTAGAAGCTGGATCACCAAGCCGCTTCTCAAGTAGCTCAAGAGAGTCATGTATTAACGCATGCTGTGCGAAAATTTTTGTTGGCTCTGCAAAATTATCGTGACTTTGAATGTCGTTCTGAAGCTTTTGCTCGAAATTTAGCGATATGTTAAGCGCTGGTGTCTCTGGATCACGTTCAGTATTTTCCTGCAACGTATCTGCACCATTAAAACCATCCAATGCATGATTTTCAGTTTCTTCTATTTCACTACCTTCTCCATTTTGCTGCGATTCTTCAACCTGCTTAGGATCATCCAGATCTTTTACAGCTTCACTTGCCTCTATATTCCCATTCTCTGTTGCTTCATCTATTTTCTTGTTTTCCGTTTCTTCATTAATCTCTTCAATGTGCTCAATCGGAACATCATGCTCCACCTCTCCATCATCGTACGCAATACCATATCTTCCATTCTCCTGTACATCACTAACTTGACCTGGGTACAATTCACTTCCACCGTCATAATGACAAAGCACACGTGTTCCAACACAAATTGTACCCGGTACATGAAGACGAAGAAATTCCGGTCGAACATTTAATTCAGCTTCGCCGTCATCGTAAAGCACTTCAAAAGTCACTGTATCTCCACTTTCACTTTGATGTATACATCGTACAAGCCCTGGATACCACATATTGTCTCGATTTTCATCATACAATCCATCGACACGTTCGCCCACGCGATAAATCGCAGCCATAGCAGTAGATGATGTCGAATATCCAACTTTTATCACACCTTCCTTTCTGCAGCAAAACTGATGATTCAAGTCGGAAGGATGAAGTCTCTTGCTCCAACGCCCGTTTTCATCAAGTTAAAGGTTTCGGTCGTTTCTTGTATAACTCCAACTTTGGCATCATACGTTAAACAAGATCCTCATACAGTTGTTGTCTCTTCATCCCACAACCGTTTAATACTGTAACCCTCTTGTTGTAACATGACTAATTAAAAAGATTATTAATACTTCACCTTCCACACTTGACAGAACCCAGCTAAAAATAATAAAATTATATAAACACGAATAATAAAAAATATGTTACAGTCCACACGCAAGAGTTGGAGATCAACGAATACTGATGCAGAGTCATCGTTCCTTTTTCTCCTTTTTACTAACCCATTTCAGCTTGTAGACATCATGGGCTGTTGTTGAGCTTGTATGACCTGTGGCTGACGCGTCTTTCCAGCGCGAATATCAGCTATAAGCTGTAAAACTTGCTGTCGATCGGCTTCGACCTGTGCAACGCGCCGTTCAACAGGCCATTCCTTTAATTGGATCTGTATCTTGACTTTTGCCTCTTGTAATTCACGTCTATCATTCTCACGCTTGCGTGCAATCTTGTCGCGTAAATAATCGCACTGCGAAACGGTACAACGTTGATCTAAAGGCATGCGGCATGTCTTTGCGTGGAAACAGAGCAAACCCCAAATCTTTGAGCACATTTCACAGCTACAAATAGCAAGTAGAAGTAAGAACGCAAGACATGAAAGCGGTTATTACAATATTACAAACCCACATACCTTTCAATAGGAGAAATTTTGCGGCGTGGGCCATAACAGCGCACAAAGTGATCGATACTAGCTTTAACCTTGTGGCAACGTCCATCAAGCGCATCGCATTTTGTCGCTGAACATGTGGCTGCGTGCACTAATGCTTCATTGTATGTGCGAAATTTCTCTTCGTGTGATGCGCTTCCATGGTCCTCCATCGTCACGTCCATGGCGTGCTTGACTTCAGTTTTCCGACTTACTTGATTTATTAAGGGACTCAGATAGAAAATAGGCCAAATAGTACAAAAGATAACTTAGAAGTAAAAGTTTGAGCCGTAAATTATAGCTATTTCGCATTATTTTTACTACATATTGATACTACAATCGTAGTTGGACTTAAATAAATGGGCGCACAATCCGTATGTACATCCATGGATAGCTTTAAGATTAAGATGTTGTGCGTCAATCGATAAGGATTGTGCAAGCAGACATCCTTTTATGCCGCGCAAGTATGGGTTTCAGGGAGGTACTGAGACTCGTTTCTTGCAAGATGACATCTTTCGACCACCTTTTGTTGCTGAGGGTTGAGATCATTTAAGCCCTCAAAGCAACAAAGCGGGATATGGCTAACGGACTTGTAGCATTCGATATGATGCCAATTGATGCATACGAAGCCATTAAGGTGCTGATATACGACACCTACGCGCAGACGACCAGCCTCGATGATGGCATCACACGTCTTACAGCACGCATGGGCCTTGCGCGTCGCTTCGATAATGTAGGTACCATCCTTGGTCCATGGCGAGTTCAGCGTAGTCGGACTCATAGGACTAGTATTTAACATGTTTATTTGAGTCATTATCGAGAGGAACGAGGGGACGCAGATGGCGGGAAAAGCGCAGAAATGAAAGTGAGCCAGACCAGGTTGGAAAGGATACGCTGGACACTCGCACCGCCACTTGACGGTGCGGCACTTTTTTGTTTCGCCCGCTAGATAACAGACGAGGCGTACAATTTACAGAGAGGGCCTTTGTTTGGATAACGGTCCGATGCTTTGCGGCTGCGGTCTCGCTGGGACAACTGCTTCGAGCACGCCGCTGGCTTGTCGATTAAGCAGTCGATGATATTTCTTGGCGTTAATATTACCCACTGAGTTAATATTACCCATTGAGACCTTACATTTGGCTCTAACATTTTTTAATACGCCCATCTCAGTTCAAAATTTAAATTTATTGAAAGTTTAGGGGTTTTGATCACAGCATCTAATTCAAGACCAGGCAGCTGCAAATGCTGGGTTTTGCTTCTGCCGATTGTTCCAAAGCAATTCGCGATACACGATCAACGATTTGGCTTCGGAAAGGCCGTTTGTTGAAATTGTAATTGCGACTTGCGATTAGCGATCGGCAATTTCAGCGTCGGGAAAGCCTTCCTGCTACTAACCTCTTTAAAGAAATGCCACAAATATCATAACGATATCAAGTCTTTATTATAAAGGTTTTGACTAAAAGTTTCTTGTTATTGTAAATATGACTGCTAAATCGAATTTGGTAATAAGTGACACTGTCTTGACCTTCACAAATATGACGTGTTATACTTCGCACATTCAACCTAAACTTTAGCTTGAGCATATGATAATAAGTACTTCAAGTGCTAGAAGTAAGAAGCTTAATAGTTTATGTGCTAGTGGATGCAGAAGATACTGGAAGCAAAGCAGCTTAAGTACGCAGTGTTTTTTCGTGAAATTTCGAAAAAATCTAATCTCCGGTTATCAGTTAGGACAGACCTTTGAACCGATCATATGAAGAATTTGATATTGACGAGGCCTTCGAGCAGTTTGTGCTTAGTGCGTGGCTCAATCACTCAAATTAGCAATTCATGCAAGTGACAACTCCAAGTTTGCTACAGTCTTGAGTTTTCGTCGTTGGACGCTCCCCTTCCTTCTGGATATAGCTAGCTGGATACCTATCTGCTTGGTGCATACATAGGTTCACATAAATCAGCATGATCAAGTTAAAAGCATCGAATAATGAGCATACGTGACGGCAGAGATGCTAGAGGGAACAGATTTGCAATATATGGTGAGGTTGCCGCATAGAAAGATGGCCTAAGAAATTCAAGCAGATTCCCGCGGTTTCTTTTTTCAATCAGATAGGACATGTTAGATTACGTAACTCATGTACTGTATCGTAGAGATAATTACAGGTAATCAAGTACAGGAATGGCAAAATCAGTATAGACACTGTAATGGGGTAAATATAGCACCGTCACTTTGATCGGCTTCTCGCTTCCTCGTCGACAGGATTTTCAAACCCTAAGTAGATATGAACTGCAAGGAGACTACGCAAGATATTCATGATCGTTACTGAATTAGTAATAGACGTACGCAAGGTTGCGTTGTACAAAGCAGACAAGGCAAACCGATGCTTGGATATTACCGTAACATGAGCCTGGCCCTGAAACGAAGTTCTCCCACAGTCGGACAGCCTCGAAGGAGACCGAAACCTTCTGATATCACCACCTTGCTCTGGACTCAGCGGCACAGACTTTTCTCGGATTCACAATTTATCCAACTTAACCTCCACGTGAAATATTTGTAATTATCTCGTTTTTTTGCGGCTGCTACTGTCTTTTATGGACCTCTCAATGGTCGTGCGGTGGCACGATGCACATCGTTAGCTCCATCTTACTCGTGCGCCTAGAATCCTCCGGATATTAAGTAAAATTATTACCTGCCTATCATTACATATAGAAAATACTTTCATTCAAAAGCGAAGGCTGGAAACCAAACAAACACATAAAACGTAGAGGGTCATTTATAAGTAATGCATCTAACGCAAATATTATCTGATAAAAAGCGCAACTAGCAAAGCAAATTCATTATGCAACACTGAATTACGCATGCATAACACTAAAAGAACAAGTATATTTGCCGAACTCTCAAACTTTTCTAAAATAGTAAGCCACTATCAAAATAATGCTCTGTAGCACAGCTTGTTATTTGCAATATACTATTGCAAGCTAGCGGTAAAGTATAAGTCATCAGATTTTCGCACGGAGTTTTAAACCAAAAAAAGCTACACAGAGCAATTCGAAAAAATGTGTTCTGCTGAATGCATCGTTCACTGGACGAGTGTTAATGAGAACATTGGAACCACTTAACGGTATTCGATCAATTCCTATCTTGGTAAAGTACAAGGCTACATGTCGTTTGCCTTAAAATACAATACATTTAGTTTATACAGAAGTTGTATAGCTGTACAACGTGGAGTGTAAAAGCGATCAATATTTTTATATGAAAAGACATATGTTTTGTAATTAAGTTAACAGCTAATGCGTTACAAACTGCAGCAATGTTCAATCGTCATTTGATTCTTGGGTATGAGACTTCAAGATACAAAGGTCTGTTTTTAAAGGAGACTACACTATACACAACACCACACTCGGACAAACACCCATTCTGGCTATCAGCACTTGTCAGAACAATTCATTCCAAAAAAAAATTCTTCCCCGATAGCGGCACTACCTCCATGAAGCTCTTTTGCCCCTTCCTTTCTGCGCTAGCTCTTGTTGAAGGTGATGATGTACTGAATCGTAATGACTTTCAGACGTGTCCAGCGATAGGTGGACCTCATGGGATGGATTTTTACGATATCCTCGGGATGGACTATGGGGGAAAAGTGAAGTCTATCTCGATATGTCATGGTCATCGTGTGGATGGCATTGTCATGTCTTACGTGTACCCACATGGTGCGAGCATCGATCGGTATCACGGTAGAAAAAAGAAATGTCAGTCTTTTGATTTGGCCCCTGACGAATACATCACACACTGGGAAGCGCATACTGTAAAGGCCGACCGTAAAACAAAAGTTTGCTACGTCAGATTCACGAACAACAAGGGGGTTTCTTTCGAAGGAGGTCATAACACATCGAATGAAAATAACAAAGCGGGTTGCGACGCTCCCGAAGGATATCAACTTGGTGGAATATTTGGGCGCGAAGGAGATGAGATTGATGCGCTTGGTCCAATTTGGGTAAAGTTAGACGCTCCTCAATCGAATCCAGAACTTGACACAATCCAGCACCCTCTGTAGTCTGATACTGACGACGATGTCACTCTGGACTCGTCGAATCAGGCTTCATTGTTCAACGTCGTCTTTGTCTAGGATTTCACGTTTCGCTGTAGTTCGCACAATTGAGCTACTCCAAATTTATTTCAGCAAGATTCGTGAAGAGGTACGATAAAAACAATCAGAACTTTACCAAGATAGGAATTGATCGAATACCTTCAAGTAGTGCCAATATTCTCATCAACACTCGTCCAGTGAACGATGCATTTAGCAGCACACTTTTTTTCGAATTGCTCTGTGTAGGCGTAAATAATACGCCAGGCTCATTGATCTTATAATTACCACAATTTAAGAAACTAAGCTCATTTTCGCAGACGTTAATTTGGTGAAATTTGGTATTTTGATCACGGCAATCAACACCAAGTAGTCGTGTTTCGTTCATCACTTTACTTCATTTGTTGAAGCAGACTAAACTGCATACCTTGCAGCGCACTTTCTAAATAGAAAATTGATAATGACTCCCTTCCTCATGTTTTTTGGCAGATGGATCCAACAGCAGAAGTATTTGGAAACACAGTAAACATAGATTATTGAAGGGACCGCAATTTAAAAATCTTCCTTCAAGAGCACGAATGCTCCAATATGTCTGGAAGAAGACCCTTCGTTACATAGATCAATTGCCTCTTGCAATGTAGAGTCATTTTTGTAAGCATTAAAATAACTTCGTTTGGGGACGTGGAGGTGGTCGACTACGAGTCTGACACTCCTTTTCCTGGATGGAATGACGAGGAAGGCGAGCCGCACCAGCGGCGTAAGACGAGCCCTGCTCGCGCCTTGCAGACCCCATGTCCGTTTCCTGACTTCTCGTCACCTGAGGAACGTGGTATAATCACCAATGACCTCGATGAGGCACAGAAGCGGCAGCTGGAAGTTGCCCGCAAGGCGGCTCTGATTGACGCCCATCCACGGTTAGTCATTGATCCTCGTGTGGAATATGGCTTCCGCCCGGCGGATATCGCTGTGGAACCGAAGGACGCGGTAACCCGATCGTTACGCGTCCACATCATCGGGCCCCCGGACATTACGGAAGCTGGGCTTGCCGAAAGGAAAGCTATTCGAGTTCGTTTCTTGGTCCCACATGAAATTTCGTTGGACGTTTATCGCAGTCCTCTACGTGCTCAACGAGGTGTACCCGCAATGCGGACGATACCTGTAGTGCTCGCCGCTGGCGAAAGCGCTACAGATGACGAAGTGCGCTTTGAGCGATGGGTGCAACGGCGCCGAAAAATTTCCTCACTGTATTGCTTACAGTTGAGCAAGGAGGTGGATGTGCGTGTGGAGCGCCACCTCCGATTTGAGTTTGCGTCAAAGCACG